CCCCCCCCCCCCGGTACCTCCCGTCCCCTCCCCTTCATGCAATAACTTCCAGGAGACCAAAGGGGGCTGGGCTTCTCCTCATTGTTCGCCTAGAACTTCCAGGGTCGGGGTGCACGGAAAATGGGAAGCACTAGAAGGCGCGCTTCTCCGAAGCTGGGGGTGCTCTTGGCCGCACTTATCCTACCCTATGTGGCCTCCCGTTCTGTCTGTATTTAGATCTCTCTCTCTCTCTCTCTCTACCAGTTGTCCCAAGACGAGATTATCAAGTCGCGTGGATTGCCCAGTTGGTATTGAAAACAATAGGCACTGGAATTGGGATTTGACTCTTGATGGTTTTACTAGCTTCCCGTTCTTGTGCAAACCATCCCAGCTCCCCTCACTCTTAGACTCTCCCTAGTAGGTAATATACCCCACCAGGAATCTAAACGAGGCTTGATGAAGCACAACTGTCACTCCGAGGTGCCGCTCCAGGTTCTCTTTATCACCTCTCTCTCCTCTTTCACCTTACTCTGGAAATGCTGGTCATCAGGTAGGCTCCAGAATGTTTCCAGAAGAATCCAGGTGTGCCACCTGTGTCTCAACTGGGAAGGACTTGCCGTAGCCTGACTCCCCGCTGGTTTGAAGGTCCCATTTGTGATGTCCGGGCCAAACCAGTTTCTGATGTAGTAGATATTAGGACATGCTGGGCAAATGAGTGCAGAAACGACAGGTTCTGAGAGCATCGCTTAGGGAAGTATCCTTTTATCTTCATAGAAAACATTGTCATCGTCCGGGTGAACAAAACAGACTTCGTAGGCAGGTGGTGGAGTAGCGGGCTCCAATTTGGGGGCCACCCGCAAGCTTTGCAGATCAGGAGCAGTGGACACAACGCGTGGACCCCTAAGTCGAAGAGGTCTTCCAGGGTTTCCTCTGCGAGTCATTGTCCCCTCGGAGCCCACTCGCCTTTTCAGCCTTCCTGGGCTGGGCCTCTCGAGCTGGCTAGGCTGCCCCCCCTCAGCTCCTGGGGATATTACAACACTGTTGTAAGGGGGTGGTTGCTCCAGCTCTTGGAGGTGGGGCTGTGATTGTGAGTCCATCACCACCACCGCCTGCTCATAGGTTGGCACCTCAAAAGCTGCATTGTCCCTGTGGGAGGAGAAATAGGGTCATTAGTGGCTGCCTGAAAGGAGTCTTTTTTTTTTTTCTCTTCCACTCTTGCAAAAGACCGTCTATTGTCTGCTGACTGTTGCTCTTAATAACACCAGTGACAGAGGAAAGCAGAATCTAGGCTTAAGAAACCAAAGGCATAGAGGGAATAAGGGCCTAGAGCAGTGGTTCTCAACGCGTGGGTCATGGCCCCTTGGAAATCTAATCGGGTATTCTGCATATCAGATATTTACATTATGGTTCATAACAGTAGCAAAACTACAGTTATGAAGTAGCAATGAAATAATTTTATGGTTGGGGGGTCACCACAACATGAGGCACTTGTATTAAAGGGTCGCAGCCTTAGGAAGGTTGAGAACCACTGGCCTAAGGGCGTTTTCCTGTCATCCTGCTCTCCCCATGAACTCACCGTGCACTGACCGAGGCCTCTGGATTCTCAGTCTGCCTTGAGCGCTGCCTGGATTGGAGGCCCCGCTCCACAACGCAGGCCAGGAGGCAGGCCAGAAAGCAGAAGCCAGCCAAGCAGAGGAAGAAATAAGAAGCAGGGGCCACATCAGGCTGGATGACCAGTAAAGCCAGCCCCAGGAGGAGCGAGGCGCTGCTCAGGAAGAGAAACGGCTGCTTCAGTTTTCCCCACAACTGCCTCGGCACCATGGTCCCTCCCAGGGCACCTGCAGGAAGACACGCAGCTGGGTGTTAGCTAGCCATTGGCACCCCAGCAGTGCCAGACCCCAAAGTAAAAATATGCTCCTCTGTGTTGGTTCCCGGTTTTCAGTCTGAAAGAAATGATCTTCAGGGCCTCCATCATTCTCTCTAGGTTGTAGGTGTGGAAAGCTGGGAAACTAGTCCACTTCGGACTCTCAGCCTCATGTGACTTGACTACGTTCACCGTTCGCCATGGCACTGCCTGTTGCGTTCCTTGCTTTCTCCCCCTGCAGTCCCCCTTCCAGCTCCCACGTACACCATGCAGGATCCAGGGCCAGCTACCTTGCCTGTGGCCTCTGCGCACAGGCATCTCTGGAATCCAGGTGATGGGTCAGGCCTTTCCCTTTTCCTGTTCTGGTCAGACCTTCATTCTTCTCCTCCCAGTTAGAGCCCCACCCCCCACCCCACCCCAGTATGGCCCTGCTGGACAGAGGGAGAGGGCCCATCACTTACCTGTCAGCCAGACTTCTGCTGTCTGCTACAGCTGAGTCAACCCATGCTCTGGATGGAGGAGGATGTGAACCCAGACACAAGGCCACACACAAGGCCCCAGGGACACCAACTAAGGGAGAAAGAATCTTAGAAAGGCCTAATGACTTTCTGCACCCCACGTAGTCCCGACCCAAGCCTCTTCCCCCAAGTCATTAAGCTCTGATCTCAAGTTTCCTGTCAGCACAGAGGCTGGGAGGTGTGTAGGAAGGGGACACCCTTTCTCTGAGAAAAAAGCTAACAGTCAATCTCAAGACAGCTCCCACCGGGCAAACTCCCAGCCAGTGTCCTGAGTTCGGGGTAGGAAGAACCCGCAGACCCTCTCCGCCCACACCGGCGGGACGCCTGCCGCCTGCGCCCCGCCCCTTCGGGAGGCCCCAGGAGCTCTGGCTCACCTGTCTCTTTCGGACCGAGGCAGAAAACCGGTCTCAGACCTGGAAATCAGGGGCAGAAGGAGGAGCCCACTTGCCCCACCCTCTCCTCTGCCCCAATCCTTCCTTCGGGCCTCGTTTTTCTCCACCCCGTTCTCCCAAGACTGACCTGTTACTGCTCCACCTTACCTTTCCCTTCACCCACCACCAAAGCCCTGCCCCCTCCCCTCTCAATGGTCTTTGTACTTAGGACTGGAATCGGAATTAGTCTTTCCGTCCTTTCACTCAAGGCATCTTGGGTGCTGATCACAATCCTAAGCACAAAGTACCTTCAGGTTGGTTTTGTACTTGTCTTTCCTGAATGACTGGAGCAGAGACTGTGGCGTATTTAGAATACTGGGTACAGAGCGAGCCATGGTCGAAATCGGAGTGGGGCATCCTGCCTCTGCTGCTGTGTCTGTGGATTCTTTGTCTCGGGGAGAGTCGGAGGGGTGCTCTTGCTTCCCAGCTCAATGAACTGGCTTCTTACAAACCCAGCTCCTAGCTGAAACCTGCTTTGGAGTCTGCACTGCGTAACCACACCCTTCTTCTCTGCTCCGGCTTTTGCCTGGTTATATAGTATTTTCTGTTTCTTTCCTGTTCTACTTTGAGTTTCTCAAGAGAAGTGATTTCTTTCAATGTTCTTTGAATCCCCAAAAGTAAGTGGACTCTTGACACTGGGGAACTTCGTGCTGTTGAGTTTATGCCCTGACCAGGGGCTGTACCCACTCTAGTGCTCTGGATGTGGGTCTGGCTGCGAGAATGAGGGAGGGAGGGAGGTAGCTGGGGCCCTGCTGTGTCCCAGAGCCAGAATAGAAAGAGTGGACTCTGTTCCTTCACCACGTTAGCATTGGGCAAACCCAAGAGAGACTAGAATACAAATATAATCCAGGGTCTCCAGGAACAGTTGTGGGGGCCATAGACAAGACTGATGGGGGGAGGTGGGAGAGAGAAAGACAGAGACAGACACAGAGAGACAGAGAGAGAGAGAGGGACAGAGAGAGACAGAGAGAAAGACAGAGAGAGACAGACAGAGAGATCGACGGAGAGAGACAGAGAGACTGGATTTGAAAAATGAACATATCTGAGTAGTATCTGTGGGTTGTGGTGGGACTTCCGAATGAACCTCTGTCCGAGCTTGCTTTGGAGGAAAGCGGGGGCATGGCAGGCTGTAGTGCCCGTGTGAGGTGTATCTCTATATAAAGCAGGAATGGGGACAGGGAGGAGGGCCACTTGTACCAGAGTATTTTGTACCAGTTCCCTTACTGTTCAGCTCATATGGAGAAAGTATGACTGGAATCCAGAATTAAACCCTCAGTTAATACTCCAATAGGAGGAAGTTGCTGAGGAAGTCCTTGGTATACATTGTAAGTTTTCTCAAGGTGTGAGTTGGGGAGGGAGAGGAATGGGGTAAGAGGCAAACGGCCAGAGGGTGTGGGTAGGAGTGTCTACAGCAGGAGGACCTGGCTGTGCTCCTGAGGGGAGAGCTGGGACCTTTATAGCTTAGGGCTCTTGGTTGCCAGAGAAGGCTGTAACGTTGAGATCTGATAACTGTGGTAAGCACTAGATGTAAGTCAGAGAGTCTGGACTGTCTCAGTCTGTGTTCTTTAATTTCCTAACCCAGAAATTTGAAACCAATTGCATTACTTTCAAAAAGTTACAAAATATTTAAAAGAGAAAGGGGAAATGAAGATTAGTAGTTATCTTGATACCCTTTAAAAGTTTGGTAATTCTAGGCTGTTCACAAGACAGACCATACTCTGGTTCATGCTAGTGTACACTCATTACTGTGCAACTGTAAAATGTTTTAGAAATTAGGTGGCATGTATTTCACCTGATGATAAAGTCTTTACTAGAGTAATTTCTGTTTAGGGATCAAACTCAGGGCCTTTCATAGACTAAGCAAACACTCTGAACGATATATCCTCAGCCCCATGAAGTTAGCTCTAAAATCCATGAAACAGTTTATTGAATGGATATGCCATAATTCTGTTAACATACCATCTTGAAGATTTACTCAATAACAACCAGCTTTTTTAAAAATTCACTTTATCATTTAAAATGGTGCTAGAGGAGATAGCAATGAGGCTAGCGAGTACCAGGGCCAGAGCAGGAGAGGAGCAGAGGAGCGGTTGTTAATGGGGTTCCTGTGCAGTGACAGACATTCTCGCATTAGACGTTAGTGGGGACTTGTGCCCTTCAAAGACCGCTCAGTGCAATGACCATCGTACACGTACTTTCTCCTAGTTTTTATGGATTGAGTGATGAATTCTGAGAGGGGAATAAAATCTAATGTAAGTTTTTATTGAGAGACAAATGGATAACGAAAGTTTTATTGCCCTGAATACAAATGGCCAAAGTGTTCTCTAAGGCTGCACTTCCCTTTTCTTTCTTGTCAGCTTAGTAGCTGTATCAGTTATTTTCCTGTGGTTCTGATGGGATACAGGCTAGAGCCATTGAAGGGAGGAGAGGTTTATTTTGACTAAGGGTTTAGGGGTGTGAAGTCTTTTGTAATGGGAAAGATGTGGCAGCGGGGGGGGGGGGGGCTTGCTCCTAGCTGAGTGGATCAGGAAGCAGAGAATGGAGAGTGCTGGTGTTTATCTACCTTTCTGCTTATCCTCCTCCCATTTTTATTCTGTCTGGAACTCCAGCTCATGTGATGATGGGACTGCCTGCAGTCAGCGCAGGTATTCCCCCTCAGCTAATGCTCTCTGGAAACATCCTTAGACACACCCACTAATGTCCGAAGAGTTTTCTTTTGTTTCGAAATCCAATCAAGTTGACAACATTTACCATCACAGTATCTTTTTTATTTATTTATTTATTTTTTTATTTTTGGTTTTTTGAGACAGGGTTTCTCTGTAGCTTTGGAGTCTATCCTGGACTAGCTCTGTAGACCACGCTGGCCTCAAACTCACAGAGATCCACCTGCCTCTGCCTCCTGAGTGCTGGGATTGCAGGCCTGCGCCACCACCGCCTGGCTCATCACAGTATCTTTAGCCCTTGACAGATCCTACTGAGTTCCAGTAACTCCCTGTGCCCATTATTCTCGCTTCATCTTAGGGGACTGTTTTAGGATTCTATTCCTGTGATAAGTACCATAATCAAAAGGAACTAGTGGAGGAAAGGGTTTATTTTATCTTACAACTCCAAGGACATACTCCATCAGTGAAGCAAGTCAGGACAGAATCTCCACACAGGAACCGGGAGGCAGGAACTGAAACAGAACCATGGAGGAGTGCTGCTTACTGGCTTACTCCTTGTGGATTACTCGCCTTACTTTCTTATACAGCCAGAACCCCCTGCCCAAGGATGGCACTTCCTACATCAATCATTAATCAAGAAAAATGCTCTCACAGACTTTCCTACTGGCCAACATGAAGGAGACATTTTCTTACTGAGGTTTCCTCTTCCCAGATGATCCTAGACTGTGTCAAGTTGAGAAGGAGAACAACAACAAAAACAAACAAACAAACAAACAAACAAAAAACCCAAAAACACCATCACCAAAAATCCAAAACCAACCAACAAACAAAAAACAACCAAGATAGTGATGGTGGAGTGATAAGCAGATGAGATAATAGGTTCTTGATGTTATTGCCAGGCAGGGAGATTCAGCTGTCTTCTGCTGTGTGTTTATCTCTGTGGCCTCTTAGTTCTGCAGTGTTGTGGTTGTGAATCTGGATGTCCTTTATAACTGTGGCTAATGTGTAGGGTGTTTGGTGTGTACGCCTCACTGTGCTGAAAACACAAAGTAAAAAACTTATCATGTGTATAATATGAAAGAGTTACTGTGATAATTTCCGCTTTATGGATGAGGTCAGAAACTTAAATGAATATAGAGAAACTTAATGAATATAGAGCTGGGGATGTAGTTCAATTGGTAGAGTGTTTTTGCCTAATGTGTATGAGACCCTAGGTTATCTTTAGTAGGCTGTGAACTCAATGTAGTGGTAGTACATGTCTTAGTTATAGCACTCAGGATAGAAGCAGGAGAAGCAAGAATTCAAGGTCATTTTCAAATATAGAGAATTCAAGGCCACTAGCTTTGGGCTAAATGAGACCCTATTTCAAATAAAACAGGGAACACAAATTTTAGGGTTCAGGTCAATTAGAACCCCAATTCTTAATCACTGTATACTTCATCAAATACTTTTGGGGGACATTTGTAATGATAACTTCGTAAAAATGCCTCTGACATTCTACAATCATTACTCTGCTCTTGCCCGAGGAATGGTTAGTTGAAATATTTCCTCCTGTTTGGCACCATGAGAGAAGGCTGGTACTGAGGTATTACCATATGAGGCAGAGTGAGGAAGTGATGAGTGCAGTACTCCATCAAGATGCTAACTTCCCATCACCTAATTAAGACCGAATAGGCATGGACTCGATGCTGATGGTTCTTCTTAAAGCATGGTGCAGTTTGGACATAAAGCAGCACCCCGAATGGTCATTGAGGGGTAAGTGGACCCGGAGGATGCTGCCTCTATTAGGAGATTGATCCATTGATGAGTTCCTAGCTGAATAAAGTAGGAGGGAGGGTCTTGTTGAAGGAAGTAGGTCATGGGAGCATGACTTTGAAGGATGTATTTTAGCCCTAGACCCTGCCTTTATCTTTCTTTCTGCTTCTTGACCACTGTGAGGTGAGCAGC